GTATGAAAACTTTAAGATGACCATTAGATGTTAGTCTTACCACCAGTATGTGTGTATGAAAACTTTAAGATGACCATTAGATGTTAGTCTTACCACCAGTGTGTGTATGAAAACTTTAAGATGACCATTAGGTGTTAGTCTTACCACCAGTGTGTGTGTATGAAAACTTTGAGATGACCATTAGATGTTAGTCTTACCACCAGCGTGTGTATGAAAACTTTGAGATGACTAGGCTAAAGATAGAAATAAAAGTAGATATAAAGTACTTTGTGACAAGGGTAGAATGGACCTTACTTAAAGTGGTATCTGTGGTAGTAGGACCATATGTTAACCTCTGGTAGTAGGACCATATATTAACCTCTGGTTAGTAGGACCATATATTAACCTCTAGTAGTAGGACCATATATTAACCTCTGGTAGTAGGACCATATATTAACCTCTAGTAGTAGGACCATATATTAACCTCTGGTAGTAGGACCATATATTAACCTCTGGTAGTAGGACCATATATTAACCTCTATTAGTAGGACCATATATTAACCTCTAGTAGTAGGACCATATATTAACCTCTAGTAGTAGAACCATATATTAACCTCTAGTAGTAGAACCATATATTAACCTCTGGTAGTAGGACCATATATTAACCTCTGTAGTAGGACCATATATTAACCTCTGGTAGTAGGACCATATATTAACCTCTGTAGTAGGACCATATATTAACCTCTATTAGTAGGACCATATATTAACCTCTATTAGTAGGACCATATATTAACCTCTGGTAGTAGGACCATATATTAGACTTAACCTCTATTCATTCAAGAAACATGACTGTGGTGCTTATACCTAAACTACAGAATGTTAAGTACATTATATTTAAACAGTTTTTAATAAATCAACAAATGACATGACAGTATAAAGCTGTTGTAGATCAACATTTTGACATTTCATTAGTAGTGTGATGCCATCAAAAATTGATTACTTTTGTAAAGATTTCATACAGTAAGATTATAAAGATTTATAAATTACTTTGTACTTAATGGCATTGGAAAGTAAAGAAATATGGATCAACATTAAACCAAGACCATCGAAAAAAACATGTAATAACTTGTATTAAAAAAACAAACATGATGTACTAACATATTAAAAATCTCAAAGATGATGTACTAACATTAAAAAAAACATGTAATAACTTGTATTAAAAAACAAAACATGATGTACTAACATTAAAAAACAAAGATGATGTACTAACATATTAAAAAACAAAACATTATGTACTAACATATTAAAAATCTCAAACATGATGTACTAACATATTAAAAACAAACATGATGTACTAACATATTAAAAACCAAACATGATGTACTAACATATTAAAAACAAACATGATGTACTAACATATTAAAAATAAACATGATGTATTAACATATGAAAACAAAGATGATGTACTAACATATTAAAAAATAAAACATGATGTACTAACATATTAAAAACCAAACATGATGTACTAACATATGAAAACAAACATGATGTACTAACATATTAAAAACCAAACATGACGTACTTACATCCAAAAACAAACATGATGTACTAACATATTAAAAACCAAACATGATGTACTAACATATTAAGAAACAAAAGACAATTTAGTAACCTATAGTAAAAACCAAACATGATGTAGTAACCTATAGTAAAAATCACAAGATGATGTAGTAATCTTATATTAGAATTTGTAATTTTTGTTTTCAAAGTTCTGACAGTGTTGTTTATAGTTCCTTTTATAACATTTTGGGATTTGTACAATTTGCCATGAAATATATTAAACCCATAGCTTAAGTTGTAACTAGCTGTTCACCATTAGTAAAAATATTTGAGTTTGTCACAAGTTGTGAATAAATTAGTATACATTGTATACAGATGAAGTATTAACTGAAGAAATCCATAAAATTGGAAAGACAAAATGTTTACATTTCTCTATGTTATGTGATATTTAATATACTTTATTCAGATGTTAAAAATTAACTTTTATAAATGACCACCATTATCTGTGTTTATGTATTTTAAGATGGAGGAAAGCTGAATCTATCTTGTTCGTGTATACAACACAGACAGGAGACAGTTACAGTTGGTGCACTGTCACATTGTAATGAGTGAGTTGAAAGACTTATCACATATTGTTTAGTATTGTAAGACACAACAGGTTTAATATTATCACGTCATCCACATCAAAAACCCAACTTTTTGTGAACTTGTATGATTAACTAGAGATGTGCCAGTTAATCAGTTTTACAGCAGGTGTCTCAATTATGATAGCGATTAAAGGGAACAAGCCAATTCTGAGCTAAAAATCACGAAGAATAAAAAGACCACAAACATTTTTATGTTACCTCGGTTTCATCTTATCATTCCATTCACGCATTAATTCTTGTTTTTTTAGGTTTAATTACTTTAGTTATTTTTGCCTCTTCAACTTTTAAAACTTGTGTGTATTAATAATGTATTTCTATACCTGAATCTGTGAGAGGATTGATGTAAAATATTATTTCTGTTGAAAGGAACTTATTCATACGACAGTGCTGAACATTGTTATGTGCTTTTTTAATTATTACATCAGTATTTCTTGTCAAATCTCATCATGTTTGGACCAGGGTTAATGGAATCAAAGGTTGGATAACAAGTCATCTCATATATCACTGATAAAGGGATTAGGTAAAAGAGGGAAAAAGAATATACTGGTAACTGATAAATCAATAATTTTAAAATCTGTTTTCAGTATACTATCATCAAAACCTAGAAAATTTGGGAGTTTAAAGTATTGTTTTCTTTCCCTCTGCTTCAGATATTACATCTCGGATGCATCATCAAGTGTCACAACGTATTCTGTCTCATCATCTTCGTGCGAAGATCCTCCAGATGATTGTATAGATCAAAGTTCTTTTCTCCAAGCTTTCAACTTAGTTGAAAAATCTCTCCTGAATAAAGAAGGTTATAAAAAATTGAGTTATACTTTTCCTTTGAGACTGATTGCTCGCAGTAGTCAAATAACTAAACTTGAAAATTCACTCAGGCCGAATTACGTGCATCATATGAATCAAATATTCGAGGACATGGATCTTTGTTCTCCTCTTGGACAGCAAGTGCTGAGAACTAACAACCGTGGGTTTCTCGACCCAACTGCTTCCCTCCTGAGTGTCAACAAATGTGAGAAATATTGCCGATTTTCTGTCGTCAGTCTTCATCCTGGTCTCTACAATATACCACACTTGAGAAACAGGGAGATGTTGACCAAGTATCCCATTACTTACCGACCGTTTCGCAAGACCCAGCAGAATTCTTCTCATCAGTACTCTTTCAATTCCCAGGAGCGTCGTGAGAGATTTAAGGTTTTGAAGACAGGTAAACTGTTTGTTTTAGTTACTGAATTAAGGTTTTGAAGACAGGTAAACTGTTTGTTTTAGTTACTGAATTAAGGTTTTGAAGACAGGTAAACTGTTTGTTTTAGTTAGTGAATTAAGGTTTTGAAGACAGGTAAACTGTTTGTTTTAGTTACTGATCTAAGGTTTTGAAGACAGGTAAACTGTTTGTTTTAGTTACTGATTTAAGGTTTTTGATTTGTTATTGAACATTCATCAAACACTTTCAGCTGAGAAACAGATTTGTGTGTAAGCACTTAGTTCAGAGTTTTGAAAAACTTCTAATTGTGGTAAATGCACGATAATCCTAAACCGTACATTTAAACAGATATCAAGCTATCATTTAAGAAATAAATCACCTTAGTTATAACCAAGTATAAGATTGTTCTGATTTAGTATTGAAATAGCAAGGTCATTATATATTAGTACAGTCCCCTCACATGAAGAACATAAATATTCACCTTTTTGTTTTAGATTTTATTGAGGATTTGATTTTCAATGCAGGTTTAAACAAACGAGGAAGAGAACTGAAGAAACAGTGCAAAACTCTAAGAATAAAAGTAAACAGATTATCGAAAGAAGAGATAAAGAAGTGGGTGAAGAAAAGTTCTCCTAGTACAGGGAAAACGATTAGAAGTAGTGATGATGATCTTTATGAAGTACAGTTTATGGGGAGTTCTCAATCTCTCTTATCTTCTTCAAATAAGCCAATTTTGGTGTTTTTACCTTTATCTGTAAAACAACATTTAGAAATTGGAACAAAATCCCAAAACACTACACAGAATAAGCTTGTAACAGAAAGACAGACACTTTTTGAAGAATCTAAAAACAGTACTAGTTATAATTCTGCTAATTTAGAAAATAGCTTAGTGACCGAATTATCTGACGGCTTCACACATGAACAACAAACTTTTTCAGTACTGCAGTTAAAACAAACTATTTCTGCATCTTCCCAGAAAAGTAAAAGCCTTAAAAACAGGGATTTATTTGAACCATTTAGATCAACAGATGAAATAGATGTTTGTTTGTTTAGTAAACCTCCACCTTGGAAACAAAGTAAATCTTGTCCAAAAACTTACTTGATTGAGAAATCAACACCAAAACCCAGTGAATCAGTTTACAGTGTTCCTAGTCAGGATGTTTCTGGGATGATACAGGCGAGTGTCTCCAAGAAGAGTCGAAGCACTGAAGATACTGATTTGTGTATAATTGATTGTGAACATCTGGACAGATGTGAACTGTCAGGTTTGTCAGACCACAGTTTTCTAACTGATTCAGATTTGAAATCACAAAACAATGACTTGCTGAAAATGTTATTGCAAACACCAGGACACACCTTAAATGAAACACCAAGGACTCGCTGCCATCAGCAACCTGGAAACCCGGTTACTTCACTTAACAAGGGCAATGGCTCTCCCGCTGTTCCTCACCACAAACCACCAAGAGTTTTGAAGCTCCCTCAATGTAGTGTGAAATTGGTTGATGTGAAGGACACCGTTGATGACCAGCTGAGACGTAAGAAGAATACAGTAAAGATATCGGAAGCAGAATTGGTCAACTCTTCCTTGGTTAGTGGTAGTGATGATCCAAACCAACGGAAACTATGTGAAAGATTAGTCCATCTTTGTGGAGCAAAACCTGAAGTTGAATTTCAACTTATGCCAGCACAGATGAAAAATGTTTCTATGTCAGAGTTACAAAGTCTTGCTTTAAAGTTATTAAAAAAGAAGACGGAAGCTGCCTTGCAAACTGCAGGCCTCAGTCGAAATGTTTCTAGTTGCTCCACTGTAGGTTATAAAAGTTGTCTGTCATCTCCTAATAAGCAGAGGACCTACTCTAAACAACAGCCAATCAAAAACACAAATTCAGAAAAGACAAAATACAATGTAGCGAAGATTGACTCTTACGGGGAACTTGGAAAATTTGTTTGTGGTGCTAATTCAAGAAAGTGTAGAGCCAAAAAGTCTGTAAGCATTCCTGAAGGTTCCAAAAATGGAAATATATGTTGTTCCAATTCGAACTTGAATACACAAAAAAAGTCTCCGAGCTTAACACCTCCAAATTTCCCTGTTTCAAAGTCTGTCGCAAAAGAACCCACAAATGGTATTCATTTTGTGAGGGAAAACCCCTTGAGAGATACACATACTGTAAACGTACGACACAGTCCCAACTCTACCAATCATTTGTCATCAGACACAAGCAGAGATTTAACTAAACCCAATGCAGTTCAGTGGTTGACATTTTCTGAAGGTGAAACATACTCCCCTTGTTCTAACAACATAACTCTACCAAAGAAAAGTCGAATCTCCTTACAAGGGCCGAGCAGTAGCACACCCGCAGTTCTCCCAGATTCCCTCCTCAGCCCATCAACTTCAAGATATGATAGAAATCTTCCACATTTTCAAAAAGAACCAACCAAATGGCTCTTTAAGTGCAATGGTTGTGGTTTTGCTGCAAGCTTTATCCATCCTGCACAAGCGGAAAGGGACATCACACAGCACGTCACGGCTTATCATGCCGTGATAGACCCCGCTTATCATTTAGCCGAATACTCCTTAAAATTTGTGGACCACACGGAAGTGGTTATTGAAGCTTTCATGGGGCACGTTATGCCATCTCCTGCACAGAGTCCAAGCGTAGACTGCAGACTCTCAGCCAAAGCTGAAAGTAATCTGGTTCGAGGGGGTGAATGTTCACATCAGTTTTGTACAGGTCATGATGCCCTTGATGATGTTGTAGCTTTAGACCACATGAACTTGAACTGAAGTTCGGATATGTTTTTATTATCTTTTAAAACTTTTTAAATTGTAATTTTATTGTTTTAATTGATACTAAGGTAACTTGTTTGAAAAGCTACCTAACCATATGTGGTCTTAATAAGAAGGATGGATATAAAGAATTACTAAAACTTCTGTATCCATTCATCCACTGCCTGTCGTCACAGCAGATACATTATACCACTATTGTTTTTATATTACAAATGCAGTTAAATGAAAATTTAAGAAATTTATTTTTTCAATACAAGGATAGTATTGTGTAAAATTATTGTATAATATTTCCTCAAATTTACACCAGATGGCCCTCTTTTTATCTGAAAGATGTATTTGTTTTGATATAAGATATTTATAAATACACCATCAAAATGAAAATATTGCATAAATTAAACTCTACTTAAAATATTTTTAACTTTCTGACTGTAGATATATAGGGACATTTGGATGATGTTTGTAAGATTTGTGATTATATAAAGTAATAGAACAATGTTGATATGCAGGTGGATGATATTTTAGGAAATTAACACCTACTTAAAGATTGAAGTTAATAAATTTTCTGATGTTACATAATTATAATTATTTAAAATGTTTTATGTGTACTGTGAGACATCGAAATAAAAGATGTGTAAAAAATGTTTACATCTGACAATAAAGCAGCTTGTTTCGCCCTCTTCTGGTGAAGTTTGAAATTACAAACATTATCTCGGTTTATATTTCTTTTGGGATTTTGATTGTATGTTGTTTAAATCTTAATTTAGTTAATTCTATGGCTGAAGTGTAAAATATGATTGGGAGGAATTAAATGCATTTATTGGGTAGTTAAAAAGTAATTAATCTAAAGGTATGGGATTGTTTTCTTTCATGTCCATTTCAGTGGAATCTTCTTGTGATAATAATGTTTGGAGACGGCTTGAATGGGTAATGTACAACGTTTTGTCATCATCAGGTACTTCTTGTGATAATAATGGTTGGAGACGGCTTGAATGGGTAATGTACAACGTTTTGTCATCATCGGGTACTTCTTGTGATAATAATGGTTGGAGACGGCTTGAATGGGTAATGTACAAGGTTTTGTCATCATCGGGTACTTCTTGTGATAATAATGGTTGGAGACGGCTTGAATGGGTAATGTACAAGGTTTTGTCATCATCGGGTACTTCTTGTGATAATAATGGTTGGAGACGGCTTGAATGGGTAATGTACAAGGTTTTGTCATCATCGGGTACTTCTTGTGATAATAATGGTTGGAGACGGCT